AAAAAAAAAAAAAGCCTTTAAAGTTTTATTTAAGTAGTCTCTATACCCAACATGGGGCTTGAGCTCAAAACCCCAAGATCAAGAGTCACATCTTTTTCCTACTGAGCCAGCCAGATGCCTCTAGGAAAGCTATTCTTAAAGTGAGAAAGTAACTATTTGAAAACATTTTAGAATCAAGAAACCATTTTTATGCTTTGGTATCTGTTGTCACAATTTTCAACATTTCCGTGAGGTAGTGTTATCCCTAAATTACAGTTGAAAAAAGCTTTCAAGATGTCACTTGAAGGAACCTTATATATACACTAACTTCAGTGGCTATGTGATCAAACAAAATTTCAATCTGTCTCACAGTATCTAGCCTCAGCCTGAGGGTCAAACTCCTCAGTATTACAAATGGACAGAAATAAGGACATCCAGGCTTCTGACTGTTCCCTGCTTTGCTTCTCTTTGTAGAGTGACAACCAACAAGCTGCTACTTTCCATCGTCATCTTACTGGAGCTGGCCATCCTAGGGGGTCTGGTTTATTACAAATTCTTTCACAAGCATTGAACTTCCTAGAGGGAAGGGTTTGCGGACCAGAACTTTGACCCTGTGAATGAATGGTGTTAGGGATGGGGACTAAGTGGAGTGCTGCTGTAAGGTAATGGTTCAAGGATGCACTGTGTAGCTAGACTGGGAGAAGGGAGGGAAGATGGAAAACCACTTTACTGTGAAGGAACAGCAACAAGACCAGTATGATATACCAAGGTAATAAATGCTGTTTATGACTCCTTTAAATTTACATAGTACTCCAACATATTAATAGCCTGTGAACTGCAAAAACAAACAAAAAAACCCCCACAAATTTACAGTAGTATTGGTCACCAAAATGGAGAGGGAAAGGAAACTTTACAATTGTGAGAATGTGCAAATGTTCTCATTAAGGCAATATTGACCCAGACAACCATTTAGTATATGTGTCCTCAAATGCCTCATAATTCTGGAATGCCCATCATGACAAACGTGTCAGCACACAAAGTTCCTAAATTCTCACACGTTCTTCACTTTCTGATTCATCTGGTGAACTGGGAGTAGGAAGTTGGTCATAGACAATGTGCCCTCCCTCCCTTGTCTGACCAAAACTGGAAGCAATCACATCCACTGCCAGGCCTGCAGTAGCCTTGGCCTCTTCCTCTGAAGCAGCCAGCTGAGGATTGACTTCAACAAGATCCAGTGCTGACAGCAATCCTGAAAGAACAAAGCATGACAAAACCTTAGAAGATTCCCTAGCTGCTCTTTTCAGTGAGGGTCGTCCTACTAGATAGAACAGGCCAAGGTAAAAAGTAATTTTCTACTATTAAAATTACCTACGGTCAAGGAACCCCTTATACCTACCTCATCTTCTTGGGCATGAAGTTCAAACACTGTATACTAGAGTAAGATTAAAATCAATCATCCCTCTTCAACTAACAGAATAGGCATAGCTGTCAGGTTTTCTGTATGAGATGAGGAAAGAGCCTGTGGGGAGGAGGTAGGATTTTTCAGCCTACTTGTTGGGAAAATATGTGCCATGTCCAGTATTACTAGGAACCTTCCAGATGTCTGTGTGTAGTTGTATGAAGAGATCTTTTGAGCTGTTCCCCCCTTTTGAACTCTGACGTTTTATCTCTTAAGGCACCACATGCCCTGAAGCATAGTTATTAGGGCAGATCTTAGTCTCACCCCTGCAGGTTAAGGGCAGGTATCATGTCTGACAAGATGTTTAGGTCTCCCATGGTACTGACCCAGTATCTTGCGCTTAGTCAAGGGAAGACTTGGCCATACTTTAATCTGGACTTGTTACCTTCTGTGAGGGCTGAAGAACTTGTACTAAAGGGTTTGAGAAGGGAAGAGTAAACCCGAAGAACCTACCCAGACATGCCTTCTACTCCCCATCCCCAACACACAGGCCCCACTTCTTTGAGGTAAACTTTTTTGTTGTTGTTCTGGGTGAAGTTAATCTACCTCTTCAAGTCATTTGAACAGACTAGTATTGGAGAATACAAGTATCAGTATACTTAGGCCACTTAGGGTGGCCATGAAGCCTGGAAACATGGGTGTATATACCTACTGCTTTATTGATACTATAGTATAGTACATGACCTGCTCGGTGCCATTACATTTGTTCAGCGTACAATCCTTTATTAGCAATGTGTAGTTCAATGCAAAACTGAAATGAGCAGGCATGTTACTGCAGCATTTCCACCAGTTCCTGTGCAAGCATCTGGGTCTCTGATGATTTGTGTGTCTGATTTCCACTGACTAAACCGGAAACTTTGTAGCCCAGAAGTAATCCAGAGGGTTTGAGCAATTAGAAATAGGGGGATCTGGGTGGCTCAGTTGAGCCTCCAAGTCTTGATTTTGGCTCAGGCTGTGATCTCACACTTTGTGAGATTGAGCCCCACATCAGGTTCTGCACTGACAGTGTGGAGCCTGCTTGGTATTCTCTCTCTCCACCCCTCCCTCCCTCCCTCTCTCAAATAATTAAACTTTAAAACATAAATAGGGGCACCTGGGTGGCTTAGTAGGTTAA